GCCTCGAACCAGCTATGGACGCAAACCGATCACATTGCGATAAGTTACCGATGGAGAGGCTGCGTCCTGAACTGTCATTCGATTTGGAGCAAAGGTGCGGACATCGATCATGCACTTGTATGTGCTGACATGCGGATGCGCTTTGGCGAACCCTCACGACGACGTTGTGAGCGCATCGACACCAGCCAATTGGCGAAGCCAGCCATTCTGAATACCTAACAAAGTAAGCTGTCATGCGAGTTGAGTAAGGGCTCACTGGATGCAGTTGAAGCTCAAAAGTCTCATATTCACCAGACATTACTTGCAGCAGGCAAATCTTCATGTGGTATGTCTAATCTTCAACGAATCACGGGCAATGCTGATTTTCAACACAGCAAATATTCCCATTGTAATCAGATGAATCAAGACCAGAAAACAGTTCAGGGTTAAGATATCTTTTCGGTAAAATCTCGTCAGACCCAAACTTTTACATGACACGGATTATGTGGGGTAAGCGTCAAATCGGGCTGGGATTGATTTCTAAGGTGTTTGAAAGGTCAAGATCGATGACTAAAGGTGGCTACAGATGGTAGGAAAAGTGCATCAAAGAAAATTAATACAAGCTTCAGGGCCTAAAGTAAATAGCTAAGGTCACAAAGAGTAGTTAAGTAACCATGTCAGTCGGCCAAGGTAGTAGTATCGGCCGTATGAATCGTTTGTGTACGCATAATTCCGGCTTCAGATGATGGATGTAAATAGCCTCGGCGATAGACAACATTTGCTTTCGGAAGCCTTGCGATAAGCGTTCAGGTAGTGAGTAGATGACTTTAAAGTCATTCTCAGATGCAGTATGGCCACTTTCGAGGAGGTGCGACATGATTGAGCTGTCTGAGGCCCTCATTTCGCCTTTGTAAAACCACGCCGGGATGTGCTCGCGAATCCTCTGGGATAGACGTCTCGTTGTGCGACCCACGTATCGTGCACCACAAGAGCACAAGTACTGATAAACGAGCATTGAACGGGTCAACGATGGCAGACTATCTTTCAAGGGTTTTGCAAGCAATGGCTTGTTGTGGTAAACAATTCTTAAGCGGGCTGCGAAATAAGTTTTCTCAACAGCATCTTTCAAACGTCGAGATAGGATATCAGCTGCAGTATCGCCCTTAAATGGTAAATGTATGAACAGCTCTTTCTTGGGAGCAATGCTTCTAGGTGGCTTTCACTTGCGTTCTTTCATATGCTTCATGATAAACTTATCGGGGTAACCATTCTCACGAAGGGCGTCGCTGATTCTCTGTAGCTCTTCGTTGACGGTATCCGGAGTGCAATTACTGCGCGCCCTGAAGGCAAGAGATCGGATTAAACTCCTCTTGTGCTGTAAAGGCACCGCGCTGTGAAAATTAGTGTACTGTCCAGTCCACGTATGCTTTCTGTGTACCTTTCGGCTACATGAGCCGTCCGAATCGCGGATGACTTCTACATCCAAGAAAGGTAAACGGTTTTTATTTTCGTGCTCACAAGTGAAGCGTAGCTTATCATGTGCATCATTAAAGGCCTTCAGCAACTGTTCTGCATGCTTTTCGGATTCGCAAAGCACGAAGGTGTCATCGACGTACCGTATGTACATTTCAGTTCCACAGATGTGCGTCCTGAGTGGGCCATGTTCTAATTTCGACATAAAGATATCAGCCAACAACGGCCTCAAAGGAGATCCCATGGCCACTCCATCAATCTGACGGTACGTCTCACCATTGAACATGAATTGAACATTTAAAATGCAGCGAAATAGTATCTCCTTTAGCAAATCCTCCGGAAAGGTAGCGTATATTAGTAGTTGCCAGGTCAAGTCGCACACGTATTCCACAGTTTCGAGCAGTTGAATGTTTGTAAACAGCGACTGGGCATCAAAAGATATCATCCTTTTGTTAGTAAAGTTGAGTCCAGATATCTTCTCAATGAATTCGAAGGAGTCTCTCACGCAGTAAGTGCAAACCATATCCCGTAACGGTTGTAATTTGTGCACCATCCATTGGGCCAACAAATGCTGGGGAGAACCCACCATGTCCAAGATTGGACGCATTGGGGCGCCTTCCTTGTGAACTTTTGGAAGGCCATATAATCTCGGTAGGTGTCCACCTGAAGGCTTCAACTTTTCGTATTCGCTCTTTGTGATCAGTTTGGCTTGCATCATTCGCTTGAGGCAGCCGGTCAACTGTTTCTCTAACTCCCCTGTGTTGTCCTTTCCGGCCATGTCATGTAAAAGTTTGGGTCTGACGAGATTTTACCGAAAAGATATCTTAACCTTGAACTGTTTTCTGGTATGTCTAATCGCCAACATGGACATTGGGTCTCTTCGCAGTCTCTGGAACTTATAGATGCTCGCCGGCATATTCCGGCTGGAAGCGAACACAATGAAACTCGCAAAGAACTCCGGGCAAAACTCCGTGCTAGCCTGAAGAGAGAGCGCGAATCCTGGTGGTCTCATCGTGCATCAGAGATGGAAATGGCCGCTGCACTTGGTAACCATCGTAAGTTATTCCGCCTGACACGGGAAACGGGCAGCAGAAGGCCTGGTGTCAGTGAAACAATTTGTGACGAGAGTGGACAGCCTATCCACAACTTGTCAAAACGCTTAGAGCGCCGGGCTGAGCACTTGGGAAAGCAATTTAATCGGTCGGAATTGTTAGATTTCTCGCCGGCCACTGATCGCCCCGCTCCCTGGGATGTTCCTTTGGATCCACACTCTCGCTCAGAAGTCGAAGTTAAGGTCGCACTCATGATGTAAAATAGTCGTGGAACCAGATGACCTACCTCCAACCCTCTTCAATTTCAGGGACCTGCTCCTGTGGATGATTTACATGAGTTACTAGTGAAATTGTGGGAGCAGGAAACTGTCCCAAACAACTGGAGCCGCTCCGTCATAGTCCCAATTTTAAAGGGAGGCTCACGATCGGAATGCGGCAGCCATAGAGGAATCAGTCTGATATCCATCGCCTCCAAATTGCTTGTCTCTGTCATCCTTCACAGACTAACTGGCACTCGGGAAAGCCATATTCGTGAAGAGCAAGCCGGATTTCGTCGAGGTCGTGGCTGCATTGACCACATCTTCACATTGCGTCAGTTGTTGGAGAACCGTCATATATATATTGGCGGCCCACCGTTGTCCTGTTCCTCGATATCAATGGTGCATTCGATTCTGTGGATAGACGTGCACTTTGGGACTGTCTACTCAGGAAAGGTGTACTTGAGAAATATGTAAATAATATCCGAGCATTATTATACGCGTGCAGCTCGGGAAGAGTGAAGGATTACGGCAAGCTGTGGTGGCCCTTTAATATCTCCAGCGGTGTGAGACAAAGATGACCACTGTCACCTTTCCTCTGCAACTTCGCTATTGACAAATTCATGGAAATCGCGTTTACAGGACACGACTTAGAAAGTGTGGATTTGCTCCCAGGAGAACGACTTCTTGACTTAGGGTATGCTGATGATATTGCCCTAATCTGTGACAGCTCACAAACGTGCCAAGCGGCACTGGACAGATTAGCACTGGCTCTCCGTCACTACGGACTTTGCTTCACACCATCGAAGTGCAAAGCGTTCCTCCAACGTTGGTCTGGACCGCCTCCTTCGCTGACCGTTGGTGGGGATCAGCTAGAAGTCGTTCAAAACTTCAACTACCTGGGAAGTTGTATCAGCGCCCGTGGGATTGAGGATGAGATCACGAACCGTATAGCAAAAGCCCAGGGCGCTCTTGCTAACCATCGCCACTTATGGTGCCGGCGCGACATCACTCTCGCCCTGAAGGGTAGAGTGTACAATGCAGCGGTACGTTCGACCCTGCTGTACGGTTGTGAAACGTGGCCGCTTAAAGCAGCGGACCTGAAGAGGCTAGTTACGTTCGACCGTCGGTGCCTTTGCAATTTAGCTCACATCTGGTGGGAACACCGCGTGAGTAACGAGCGTGTTCGACGACTTGTGTACGGCACAGGAAAAGGAAATGAACCGCTCATCACCGTCATTTCACGCACCAGGCTACGATGGATCGGCCATGTGTTACGCATGCCAGCCTACCGACTCCCGCGACGTGCATTGTATACTCACCGGAGTGTGGATGGAAGAAGAGGAGAGGTGGACAAACGATAACTTGGTCGATAAGAATGAAGGCCCTCACTTCGAAGCTGGGCTCAGTTGGAGCGTTTCGGCTCCCTGGTTGGGGTCCGAAAGACAATGAACACATTTGGCTGGATAAACTTGTTGGTATGGCTAGGAGCCGAGTTCAATGGCGTTCGTGCTGTGAGTTTCTTTGTCCCACCCCATCCCTCTTATCCTTCCCCTACAACCACGATCTCATTATTTAGCATTTTATAATTTCGCACAGTATATTATTTTTTTGCTCTGCTGCATAGTAGCCCGAAGGTAGCGTACCGGAACGATGTCCATCCGTTATCGGTAGCTCAGCTGTTGCATTTTATTCTACTTTTTCTTTTAGGTATTGCGGCACAGTAGCTGAGGTGTTTCCCACCTCTAGCTAGCGTGTACAGTGTGTGTGTGTGTGTGCGTGCGAACCGGTGAGGTGCGCTTTGCGCGACAGAAGCCTTATCCTTTCGGTCACCTGATGGTGATCGTTTCCCCTCGAAGCCAACAAGCAAATGCACATAACAGCCCAATCAGGAATTTAGGGTAATGTATTCATACGCTCATTTCACGTCAGAGAACGGTAAACAATGTACGCCGATAAAAGCCGGTAGTAGGATATCCGGAAAACTTGCCGTAACCAACGTTGGCAGCGTAATGACGACAGTAAGTTCTGACTGACATCCCGGTGCTACCTAGTTAGGATACGATTACGTGGGGTCGAGAAAGTAAAACGTGGACAGCTCGCTTTGTGGATACAACATCGTTACAGGAAGAACCGAGAAACTGCAATCCGGAAAAAGCTGATTCAATGTGGAGAACATAAAGATCAAAATGAGTGAAACATTTTGTTCCATAGATTGGGCAGTGCAATGATTGCTTACCTGGCGGCGAACAGAGCGGTTTTCGACGGGTAGGCCGGATTTTGATACTGTAGACGTCGCAGAGCTACTTGGTGAGGATGGAGTAGGGGCGAGTTGCGAAGGGGCGATCGAATACGGACGAGCAGTTGCAAAGAATGACGACCCGAAGGACCAAACACCGTAAAAAACCCAAGTGGTATATGAATAGACGCTGTGAAGACTGGTGCTCACAAAGGAATATAACCGTGAGACTAAGCCACCTAGTGAAGGAAAAACCGGTAGGAATTGAATTCTTGTTGTATGCACTTGTTCGTGAGGATGCAAACCTCTTATGAACATGGTGGAGAAATATCCTTCAAACTTAGAATGTTATGACTTTCGGAGCTCATCCATAAGGAGCAATTACATGAGTTCGCCATAGCAAGTAGAATGCTTTAGAGATAGCCTATCGCTCCGTTTCAACTCAACTTTCTAACTGGAAGAATCGCGCACGACTCCGTTGGATATCTTCCAATTCGGTAGTGGTAGCATTGCCGCATAACGGGCTGACGGCAAAAACTGCTTGAGTGAGATTCAGTTCCTGCACAATCGCTTCTGGATCGACGACCAGTTTCGCGTGCGCTTATACGTGTGCTTCGCAGTGCCGAAAATGCAAACTACTGCTACAGTGTGGGGCTGAAATGTTGCCGATGTCGAACAATCATCCTCATCTGAGCAGCTGTTTCATTTATCGTGATCGAAATCCGTATAGGTTAGTGAACACATTTGTAAAGTCTAAAGCCTGAGGCGACTATAGAGAGGTGTTGATATTCGGCGACCAGTCAAGGGTATAATACGCGACGCCACAGTCGAACCTCCATCATTAGAGTGAGCAAATCTAAGCGTGCTGAGAGTATAAATATAACGGCTACTTGACTGCCGATGATGTCGAAGTATAGTTCAATGGTGATGGAAGTAGCGATTAACTAGTAGTGGAATGTGCCAGTTGTTGTTTAGTAACAGTACTCGAAACAAATATAAAAAGTGTAAAAACAAACGTTGGACATAGAGGGTACAAATGACTACGCACCAGCAGTTCCTTGAACTGATGCAGGGTATCGAGAGGTGCTTGGAACAAGTACCAGGACGGCCGAAGGGCAAAGTTCCAGATCTGCGACGGTCCTCGTTTCGTCTTCGGGATCGAACAGTCTGGAAAGTACCGGGGCCGGTGAATGTGGTCAGTCACACAAAAACACTCATATTCAAAGTAGCTACTGTTACAAATCGAGTAGTGCATTTTGGAACGCCATGTGAGTCAGCTGTGGTGGACTTGCGTGGAATACGGTTTGCCACCAGCTAAAATCAAAATCTGGCAATTGGAAAAATTGGAAACAAAAGTCATTGTTAGCGAACATATGTTTTTGACAATTCTTCATCAGGCTAGTACAATTACGTATCATGTACACCGATTAGACAGACTACTAAGTCGTTAAAACGGGAGAAAATCAGTTTACAAGTGGTCAACTATCGCCAATAATCAGGTCCATGTCGGAGTCTTCACACGATCCAACTGTGTAGAAATCACTACTCGATCTGGCCAGGGCAGTTGTAATGCTTGAACAAACCGCTTTTGAGTGCACAACTTTGGTTCGTACAACCGGATTGTTATAGCTTCAGCGGCTTCTAGTATCCGTCTGCGGATATACTTCGATCGATTATCCGGGGCCTTGTAGATAATTTGGAACGCTTTGGCTGGCCTAGGGTTGTGGCCTGTGTCAGCAAGATGGGTAGCTATGGCTGAGTTACATACCCTTCTACATCCGGTCGCTAGCCAGGCCGGACATTCTTACTCGCCGTCTATCACAGGAGCTTAGACGGACGTTCCCAGCAGCCAAAGTACATATCTACTTTACCATCACACCGATGGTGAAGCTCAGTCTCAAGGACAGTAGACTTGTCCACGACAACTCTATGTGCATCTATTGTTTTACCTGTTCCGATGGTTCAGGATACATCGATCATACGATTAGGTGTCTATCCGAGAGAATGAAAGAACACTGTCCGGCATGGTTAGCAACCGGATGCAGAAGGGTAGGTAACTCAGCCATAGCTGCCCACCTTGCCGACACAGGCCACAACCCTAGGCCAGCCGAAGCGTTCCAAATTATCTACAAGGCCCCGGATAATCGATCGAAGTATATCCGCAGACGGATACTAGAAGCCGCTGAAGCTATAACAATCCGGTTGTACGAACCAAAGTTGTGCACTCAAAAGCGATTTGTTCAAGCCTTACAACTGCCCTGGCCAGATCGAGTAGTGATTTTTACACAGTTGGATCGTGTGAAGACTCCGACATTGACCTGATTATTGGCGATAGTTGACCACTTGTAAACCGATTTTCTCCCGTTTTAACGACTTAGTAGTCTGTCTAATCGATGTACATGATATATAATTGTACTAGCCTGATGAAGAATTGTCGAAAACATATGTTCGCTAACATTTACTTTTAATTATCTTTATGGGCTTCTTTAAATTGGAAACATTCAAACCAAATAACCTCGTGTGGACGTAAAGTCGCATGCGTATTAACCTGTCCTCCAACGCAAGCGTCGTCCGGAGTTTGTAAAACACCGAAGTTAATGTCACATGGCGGTTTGGAGCTGTGTAGATCAATAGTTACGTGGATGAGCAACACAACGGTGCAGCTTTAATGGGCACATAAACGGAACTACAAATAGGGCAAAGGTGAAGAGGTAGAGTATAAAAATTAGCGTCCTGATGTGGGATACGCGTGGTAGTCTAGGATGAATTGCTAGGCAGATGAAGTAATGAAGTTTTGGACCAAGAAATGTGAGCGCACCTTGCAGGATGTAGTTGTCGGAAGCGATACCCTTGAGCGACCAAAACGGCGAGTTTGGTACGTAGGGAATCGTCTACACAAGGGAAATCAATAGTGCCATGTTGATTGTTCTGAGCCAAATCCTGAAGCCAGTTTCTAATTTCGCCGGCCAAAGTGGCAGTAGTGGGGAAACATCCAACAACATGGCCACCGTCGATGAACCGAAGTTGCAGACGAGCCTGAAAATCCAATGTAGACTTAGCAACCGTCACTAAACACCAGAATTGAATCAAAATGGAGATAATGCAAGTGGAACACATGCCCGTGGACGACTGGCAACAGAGGCAAAATAGAGTAGTCAAGCATTATCAACAAGAGCAGCAGCAGCAGCAGTTCAGTAAGTTAACCTTGAGTTTCGCTGTTGTACAACCGCAACGACCAAAGGAATGAAGAATAATAATCGGGAGAGAAGTGAGGCCTCGTGTAAAGTCTAAATACAATAAACAAACATTCAAAGTCAAGGTACCTACATCTTGTCAACAAGATGCAGCCAAGACGGCATCGGCAAGATGGGCCCCTTGCGGCTTTGACGGCTCCGCATCATAATCAGCCATTACCACGGATAGCACAGCACCGAAAAAAAGTAAAACAGACAGCCCGACTAAGAGATGACAGCAGATGCGCCACTGGTGCCGGCCGCAAGCCATGTCCTGTAATGTCTCGAGCCAAGCAGAAGACGAGTAGCGCAGACTCCAATATGGAAGGCGAGACGGTCCAACGGCACTTAGTTTTGCAGTCAGTGACTTCATCCTCCATCAAGTTAATTTGTATTAACCTTGAGACTTGCACCACCCTACACGCTGTAAACAAAAAGGATAATCTCTGTAAGCGACGACCGGGCATACGTAGAACGTGCCCAAGCCAACGCAACACACGTAATAATATTTGTTGTTCTAAAGAACTAGCCGGACTATCCAACCTTGCACTTATCTGCGCACACCATCGATGTGAACACGCCGACGATTTGCGACACCAGCAATACTGAAGAAACAACGAGGATCAAAGACTTGAGGGCACCTCAGATCGAAGAGGCCAAGTCCCACTCCTATAGAGTAAGGCGGCCTTCACTATGGTCACGAACATGGCGTTTCGGGCCGATGGAATGATCGTTTTGACACCACAGATGTTACAAATTCAAGAAAGAGGTTTAAGTTTTCCCAGTAAGTGAGCAAAGTTCGGTAGCCACACGCCTGTTGCTACTAACCCAGATGCTAAGATAGGTGAATCGGTCAATAGATCGTTACGCGCAAAAGGAAGACAATTCGATGGCTACTAGGCAGTTGAATAATGTGTGTTGTGTGGAAGTCGAGATTAAATCTAACTGTGCGCATTACGTTGCACAGAGCCAAGGTAATCAAAAGATGATGACCCACTTACATGTGATTTAAAGTTGAAGTGGTTCATTGCTAAAGCCGAGTTAGCGCATAGACAGAAGCTTCCGTTTTATTGTCGGGTTTTGGAGTACCCGCCGCGTCTCGGATTGCGACACGCAATCCCAATTGTGGTCCCGGTTGACTTTGAAGTCAGCCAGTGGCATTCCGACCACTGGTACCGCGCATTTGAAGTGGAGTTTAGGTGTCGCTCTCTCTCAGCACTGCACCCCACGCTCAACGGTTTCGTCCTTGTTTGGACTCATCAGGTTTTGGCAGGAAACGAAGCCATTTGTGGACCGACAGGGGGGGACTAAGTACCACCAGAGAAAGTTGATATCGGTCCGAGAGTAGTTTGTCAGTTCCGAATCGTGAAGAGAGGCTACGTCAACAAACAAGCTCCCTTATCCGTTAAGCAAATGACTACTGATGTCATTCCAATACACAAACACACGCACACAGGCACGCATATTTTCATGCCAGTTGCACCGCTTCATGGATAGAAAACTTACGAGTTGATAACTCTGCCCTTTATCCGTGAGGATAGAGTAAGCAAGTTGAACTCAATTAAGCAAGTGGAAGACGAGGGAACATGAGATTATTCCTAGCTTGGCACATAGTAGAAAATTGCCGTGGGTATGGAATGTACAGTGCTATAGCATGTGACGGATGGTGAATAACTGAATTGTCTTCCAAATAATGAGTGATGCATCACGATTCTTTGTGACACTTCGAGCAATACTGGGTAAAATGAAACCGTTGCGTCGCAACACATCCAGTGAAAGGCAGGAGCGTACAGTGCTGGTTTGTGAGCATGCATTTCAATAAAGTCATTAGGGGGAGAACGGCTGGGCAATAAGAAGAAGACCATAAACAACAAAACACTGACTTCGAAGAAGTGTAGATCAACAGTGCTGGAAAAGTGCACACAATACGTAGCAAGCCCGGTAGCTACCTGGGCATATGTTCGAATCCTCATCATATACATGAAGCACCCAATTGCGCACATGCGTAAGAGGAAGGCGGACGCACTAGAAACAAGTTACTATTGACACCGTTTGTGCTATCATTTCCATAATGAAGTTTTAAGAGTGACAAACCAGAGTACGTAGAAGTACTGAAGTAGAGCTACGGAAATGCGCAACTGCAGTAGACGAAAGCCGCGTATACAGTGGGCATGCCATAACTAAATGGGCCAAGTGACGAAATACAGAACAAACGGGACATTTTACTTGGTCGTTACCGACTTTCGGAAATCTTGTGCATGCCTTGGGTTCATCTGCCTTGAAGATTTTTGGTGGACTGGAATCCAGTGAACCCGAGAAGCCGGCTCGTTCTTGCTTAGCGCGTCGATCATCCTCAATTTGTTGCCGCAAATAATCGCGTAATCGGCGCTTTTCCGCCTCATCTTTGCGGCGCTCAAGTAACATTTCATCCACTTCTCGCGCTCTCTGGCGTTCCTGAAACATATATAAAAAAATGAAGGAACGAAGGGGTCTGGAGAGGACGACACAAAATAGTGAGAAGGCTCGGATGAAGAAAAGGACTGCACAAATACATAAGCAAGGAAGAGCTCACTTTAAAGTCTTGCATAGTCTTCCCCAATACACGTCGGTTGATTTCCTCGTCCCGAAGCTTTATCTCTTCCTGAGCTAAACGTTCATGGCGTTTTTCTTCCACTAATTGGCGTGCATGCTGTGTACGATCTTCAAGGGGAGTTGGCATAGGTGAGGCAAGCATTGATGAGGCGGTGGGTGGGGGCCCAGATGAAGTGGATTCAGGTTCAGATGACAGCTGGGGTCTGAAGTCGTGAGTGGAGTTCACTAGATAAAGTGTAGTGAATGTGGAACACTGCGTGATAATCAATCTACCGAAACAGGAAGAAATATTGGATGAGAGAAAATGAGCTAAATCCCGTCAAAGGTCATCACACAAAAATGACTCACAACGAATACGGTGATTCCAGTGTTGAAATAGTGTCACTATGGTCAGAGACCACGTCGAGCAGGAATGTAACAAGTAATGATAATCATCACATACGAACACTAAACGTGAGGGACCTCCTAGATATCGTTCAGCAATAACATACGATAAACCCGGAGTAAAAGAAATACGAAAAACAAAAAAGAAAATATTATGCATTTTTATGTAATGCAGCGACGGGAGGCAAAGAAACATCCGTGGCGATGTACGCTAGCCAGCGCGCCCCCATGTTGCGCATTGGGAAATGTCTTCCGTGAGGAGGTAACTGTAAGTCTCGTTTGCTTAGCAGGCGATATGATTAAGCAGTCGCGGAAAACCAGCGGCAGCGTCCAAGCGTGGGTTCTGGGCTGCTCACCTGGTTCCAGTCAAGTCAATATACATTTTTAGCAGTTTACAAAATACATTGCGGACGTTTTAAAGTAACATCAATAAAAAGGAAAGTCGTACAAATGCAGAAAATAGCATTAGGAATGTGTGACAATAAAATAAACGATCCCGAATCTGCATTGGATAAGGAAGAGGATTTCTTAAATTACGAAAAGCCTTCTGGTAACTTCACGTGATAAGCGCAGTATCTCAAAGTCCATTTTCAAAAATCGGCAGGGACAGCATTAGTGACCTCGTAACTGCTCTAACAAAAGAAAATGTCAAAAAGCTCAGTGAAAACTGATGAAGCCGCAGGAGATATAATCTTGGCAACGGCGGATTTGAAGGTCCTGCAATCAAATACCACAAGAACTCGTACGACGCTGTGTCAAAACCAAGGTGACCGGTTATAAGGTCATTTACAAGTACTTCTGGAAACAGAGGTGAGTATCTAACGGAGGGCGGATGAACAAGCTCGCTTGCTACCGACTTCTGTTTGGACTGCTAGCGAACACAAAGAAGGAGGATGAGCCGGCTGGTTGTCAACGCTTTTCGTATTCAGCAACATGCGTGAATCGCGCCGCTGCTTTGGCAGGTCGGGTCTTTAGGGTCAAGGGCTCGGGGTGGGG